CAGCTGCCCAGACCGGGGGGCGGTGGGACCTGGGGGGCGGGTCACTGACTCCTGGTGAGCCAGGTGCACTCCGGGGCTCGGTCCCGTTAGCGTAACCCGGGGGGACCTGGTCTCCCTGGAGAGCAGCCGTTTGCTGACGGGCTCCTCAGTCCAGCAGCCAAGCTCGAACCAGCTCCAGCGGCGGAAGGTGAAGCTGTCCGAGGTCCGGCTGGCCACACGGCGCCGATGTTTGCCAGGGAGGGGAATGAACCTGGGGGTGCGGTGGGTTCTCTGTCCCTGGCTGCTCTGAGCTCAGGGCCGGCCCACGGCCTGCACTGGGCAGGGGGTCGGACCAGGCATCTCGGAAAGAAACAATGACTCTGGCTGGAGGGGGGGAGGCTGGATTCCCCAGGAGCAGGGTCCAGCCACTTGGGGTGACCGTGGGGCAGGTCCGTGCTGGGGACGGGGGGCGGTGAGAGTCCAGAGGGGGAAAGCTGGAGCAAGGGAGGAGCCGAGCTCTCTCTGCAGGCCAGGAGGGGGCATCCTGCCTCTCTGCTGCCTTTTCGCAGCTCCAGCCCGGCTGCCCAGTCCGGGCCAGCCCACGGGGCACTGCTGCCTCAGCCCCACTGCATACCAGGCTCGCTGAGCTCCCTTGCCCTGGTGTAGACAGCACGCCGCTCCAGCGGGGTCACCCTGGATCAACCCCGCAGGGGAACCGCTCCCAGCACCATTGCATTTGGGCCCAGAGACAGGAGGCAAATTCCTGGATCCACCGAGCCAGTTCCCCAGCTGGCATCAGTGGCCTTTGCTCCATTGGCTGCGTGTGCGCTGCGTGTGGCTGCGTGTGGCTGCGTGTGCGCTGCGTGTGGCTGCGTGTGCATTGCGTGTGGCTGCGTGTGCGCTGCGTGTGCGCTGCGTGTGGCTGTATGTGAGCTGCGTGTGGCTGTATGTGCATGGTCTGTCCACCATCCCGGCCAGGTCTGGAGGGTGCCGGGTACTTGCCACCCGGAGCTGGCATGTGGGGAGCCCTGCCTGGTGGCTTGGCAGCAGCAGGCCCCACACGGTGACGGGGGCGGGCGAGGACACGAAGTGCTGGCTCCTGCCGTCTGTCGGCTCTGGGGGTGGTGGATTAACGCCTCCAGGGCCGGGAACAGCCGGTTTTTGGGGAGCCCTGGAGCCGCAGGGCCCCCTGCCCCCTCCCCACAGGCTAGGGACCTGGGGAGGCCCAAGTGCAAGGCAGGAGACAGGGCCACCCAGACAGGTTTCGGCTTTTCCTGGTGCTGAAGGTCTGGGGGGGATAAAGATGGCGTTGGGGGATTGCGCCTCTAGCAGGAGGGCGGGAACATCCCCCCCCGCCCCAGGGAACAGCCCCCAGCCCCAGGAACACCCCAGCCCCACCCCCAGGGAACAGCCCCCCATCCCGAGAAGTGGCCTGCCAGCTCCTCTGCCTCCCCATTACCCCCCACGCTCGCTCCCAGCCCCTGGAGGCACCGCCCCAGCCCCTCGCTGCCAGGCCCGGGGACTCTCGGGCAGGTGCTCCCGGGCAGGAAGGCGTGGGATCCCAGCCCAAGGGGGCTAACCCACCTGGCAGCGCCCACGGGCCCAGCCCTCCCCCTGGTTGTCAGGACAGGCTTGTGAGCTGGTGCCAGCGGAGGCCTTCGGAGCGCGGGCACCTCACTGCCTGGCGCTGGCACGACCGGGCCCAGAGCAGAATGGGGGTGGGGGGAACCCAGAACAAATTCATGCTACGGGCCTGCTTCCAGCCCGTGCACCATGCATGAGGACCCCTCGCCCGGCACCGCGATGCAGCCACCTCTGGGGTGGGGTGTGGGGGTTGTTTATACAGAGATCCCTCGCCCGTGCTGAGGTACCCTCACATTGCTCCTAGCTGCATACCACCTGCTGAGCCCTGCTCCCTTCAGCCCGGCGCCCCCCGCCGAGTCCCCCCTCTTCCCGCAGCCCAGCACCCCCCGCCGAGCCCCCCCCACTCCCCGCAGCCCGGCGCCCCCCGCCGAGCCCCCCCTCTTCCCGCAGACCAG